GACTTGTTTTTAATCGTTTAATATAATATTTAACAAAATAAATAGTTGAATTCATTTAGTTTAACTTCACGTTTTATAGTATTATTTCTATGGCTCTTTCACTTTTTGCCGTTTCAGTAAAACTTTGAGATAAACAAATTATAATTGTATCTTCCGGCCGTCTTAAAACTCTACTTAGTTTTATAAGATAACAAACCACTCTTAAAGATATATTGATCAAACAATGATTTTTATTTTAATGAACTAAGCTACTTAAAATTTAAGCGTTTTTATTTGCACGGCGCACTGTGTAGTCAAAATTAATACTTTAACGTGTATGAACTAAATTAAAGTATTGATGTTGTGATTTTTTTGTACACAACGCAATCATAATTTTTGTCGAGTGTTATATTGTAACATTTCCGTATTATACAAATTATTATATATATTAATATCAAAACTGTTTTGTGTAAAAATAATAGTAATGAAATTATTAATAGTGACAAAAGCGTTAACACAACGAAACGGTCCGTAAGATATGGAACAATTTGGTTGCATTTAAAAATAAATTTATGGGTTGTTACATAATAGTTTGTAAATGTTGATTCTGATGCAATGGTTTTAATTGATTCCATTATTAAAATATAGTTTAACTAAAGTAAATTTTAAAATATCTATCAGACATATCTATCGTATAAATAAGAAAATTGTTAAGCATTTCCATAAGGTGCAACACACCAAGAAGAATTTAAAAAACTCAGGGACATTAATAAAATAATCCATCTTTTTATGATCCTTCGTTGTGTGCAATGATCAAAAGGTTTAATAATTTAACTCCTAGATTCCTACTTTACCTTGGGGACCACTGAATAATGTAACTTCGTTTATATTTTTTTGTCAGCTTAAGTATTATTTATTGGTCTTATATAATAATATTACAGACTATACAAATAAAATGTAGAAAGGACGACAAATGGACAATGTGAGTATGGAATGAATGAATTTTTTTCATCACCCTAACCAAATAAAAATAAACTTGTGGCCGTCAAGGGAACTCGAGTAAATTAAGAATAATTCATCAAAAAATACGTTAAAAAACATATGGAGCATAAAATATGACTAAATAATAATATTTACAAATCTGTATTTTGTAAATGACCATTCTTTAAATAAACTACTTCCACTAAAATCACCACGCTGAAATGCTGTATAGTTATTTTTATTTAAAGATTTTTGTAAGGATCGCTTTAGAAAACTTAGGTTTTATACTTATAAATATTCCATTAAAGATAGGTGGCACAAAGAGCAGAGGTATATGCAGATTAACTGAAAAGAGGAACTGCTGTGAAAACTCTTTAACGGTTGTATGCAAAATTAAAATTCGTTAGACGTCGAAATGAGTAATTGAATTTTAACACCCACTGAGAGAGTTTACGCTAAATATTGAATATATATAATGAATAAAGGCGTACCAGTTAAAATAAAACAATATTTATTAAAGAACTAATATTTTCTCTTATACAGAGTGATTCTTTTAACTTTAATCGCGATTTCTCTTAAAAGAATAATTAAGATAAGACAATTACTTTTGGTATTTTTTAGTTTCATATATTTTATCAGTTATTAGCTACTTTTTAATTCATTCCTCATACATTACCAAGGTGTCAATTTTATTTGTTGAAATAATAACATACATATTTAACTAGCTTATAAAATAAAAAATTATTTAATTAAGAAAACAATGGGTTTATAACAACTTTTGGACTTTAGAAGTCATTAATAATATAAAATATAGTTTGAGGAGAGACAAAGTTATGATTATTTATATCATTAAACATTTTTTGACAGCACTTCTCCTCTAGCCCACGTATAAAAATGGTAATAAATTTGGAATACGGGTCCAAAAAGTGTTTTTGACCCTTTTTTTTTCTTAATTAGATAATTTTTTTTTATTTTAGAAGCTATTTAAATATGTATATTGCCATTAAAAAAAATTAAGTTGACATTCTTATAAGGTATAATGGATAAATTATAAAAGTAACTCATAACCGAAAAATCAATAAATATGTAAAACTAATAAATACTAAATATAATTTTCTTATCTTAATTATTATTTTAAAAGGAATCGTGTGACTAGCGTTAAAAGAATCACGTTGTACATCAAGGCATGCGCTATGATCAAATTAATAATTTGATGTTTATAATCCACTATATTTGATCTATTTAATATGGAAAATTAAACGACTAACTTAAGAGCATAAATATATCTAAGAATATCAGGTACAAAAGATAAGCAATGTTTGAACAAAATTTGATATGAATATGGATTACTAATTTAAAAAACAAATCCAGAAAATTGTGCATTTTATATATTTAGAATATAAACTTGAAATTATCTGTACTTAAAATTTAGTAATTAATTATACGCTTAAATGCCTACACTAAAGTGCAAAATTTAAATAGAAATAAAATTAAAAACTTCAATTTTTTATTACACGATTTAGTAGTGTGAAGTTTGAATAATCATTTATATTAAATATATTTATAACAAATGGTAAACTCTTCCAAGTGTCGGAAAAATATTGTATTTAGGGGTGAGTAAATCTGAACAAGTACGTAAATGATTACCCACTCGGACGAGTACAATAATTGGAGGGTCGGAAAATGGCTCATAGGCCGGATGTTTCTCTAATGCAGCTAATGGTTCTACCTCAGTATGGTGAGCATGTGATAGTAAAGTTCTGTAGACCAATTTAACCGACTATACTTCCATTAAAAACACAACGACCGCCCCGGGATTGTCGGTGGCAGAAGAAATACCTGTTTTTAAAAACCCGCATGTCTACTATAAGATTTAGAGCTTGGCCCTCATTTACACAGTGCTATAGTAGGGACGTTATGGGTTAGGTGTAGTTAAGGTCTGCACGTAGCAGTTGTGATTTAAATTGTCAAGCTAACTCGAATTTTTTAATTAAGTTTGCAAAAGAAATTTATTCAATCCTTTATCACATAAATAACAATAATTAGTAACTACTCATGTTACTATAATTTACACTGCCCGTATTTAAGAAGGAACATCATTCAGGTGTAAACGATCACTTAAAGCTTCCATGCGAAGCTTTTCATTTTACTATGAGTTTATTTATTATTTTTTGTATCAGTCATCACTTTTTTCACCTCTCACTAAACCAATTTTTCAAACGATACGTCAAAGATCACAAATCGTATCTGATTGAAGTTATTACCCTCAAAAATTAAAAAAATCTCTTACGTTTCCCGTAAATAGGAGAAATCCCCTCAAAAATTACGATTTTTGAAATCGACATATTTTGACATTTTTTAAACCTTTTTTTTTAATTATTGTTACGTCAAAGTTTGAAAAATTATGAGCAAAAATTCAATTAAACTGTAAACAGTTGACTGAAAATATCAAATGTTCAGGGGCACTAGATATTTCAATACGTCCTTGCTTACTTACAGTAAATTTTAATTAAGGATGAGCCAGTTGAAGCAGGCTCTAAGGTTCTATAGTTATAAAAAGTATTTTATGAGTTAGAAAGAAAGACTTATAAAAGAATAATAAAGGTTAGTGTTAAACACGAATCTTACTCAAATTGCACGTTGCATCATTGTAAGCCGTTATAACTTTTCTACAAATCAATATATTTATAACTGACCAAATTAATTTTTAGCATTTCTATGACAAATTAAAGTGATGGATTAAACCTTAAACAAAAATAGTTGTCAACTACAATGCAATTGCCAAATATCCAAGTAGGTCACACCGTCACTATGAATAAATACGCCAAACAAATATTCCTTCTATTAACTCGATGTAAAATTATGACAAAACCATATAACTCAATTTTTATACATAGTTTAGGGGGAAGAAAACACCTATTTAATGTAGTTAGCTATCGAAATAGATTCTTTTATACTCAATTATCCCAAAAAATAACTGAGATATTTTATTTCGAAAACATTTAAAATATGTGTTAACATTTTAAATATGTAATTCTCAAAATATCGAGTAAGGCGGTTTTACATTGGAGACTACGATATATAACATAAATGATCAACAAAATAATTCAGCTGATTAAAGGAGTTTTAATTAATTAAATATATAGTTAATAACGAAAACATAATATCTGAGTAATTTGCCAATATATAATATAAATGATTATATTTACATATCACATTAACTTTGAGTTCAACACTAAACTCCCATAAAATTTCAAACTGCTTAATAAACAAATATTTTAAAATTAACTTATTACATTCTATTGTGCTAAAATAGAAAAATATAGAATTCTAGGCAAAGTAATAATAATATAATGTTGTTGCTTTTCAGCAATAGTATAATAATATACCAGTTATATAATACATACAGTCTGTTTTATACAGCGTTTAACTGACTGATTTTAGATTTGTAATAAAAAACTATTACTATTATATTTAATCACCAAAACACCACTCAATTGGATCAACATTACGGTTTATTCATAAATTTTTTAATATTATTTGTTAATTTAATTATTGAAATAAAATATTATTTTAAATCTACTCGTTCTCTACGATTTTATTTTTTTATGTTATCGAACCATATTTGATAATTAAAAAAAAAACTAAGTTTTATAAAAAAAAATGTTTATTATATTTAAATATATATATATATATTTTTTTAATAACGAAAATGTGTTAACTAAATTTAATAGAAAATAGTAAATATGAAGTGATTTAACTGGTTATAATACCTATAAAATTTTTACATAGTTAATCAGTTTTTGGACATTTTATGAATTTATTAATTGCAAATAAATTTAAATAAGCTTATGTACAAAAAAAACATCTTTTTTAGTTTTCAAATTTTGTGGACTAATTTTAACATTAGTTACACAACTTAAGTTTCTATGTGTACAAAAAATTAATTTTTTCTGAGAATTAGATTAAGTGACATAATTAAAACTTATAAGTTAATGATGTTAGTTTTCTATAATAGTTATTATAAAACTAGAAATAAGTTAATCATTATAACTTATAAGCACATAAAGAACAAGGCGTAAAAAAATATCATTCACATATAAATAATATGAATGCTAATTTTAGTATACTCGTATAAACAGAGACAATAAATTTGTCCTTTGGTTATTATCATTAAATAAGTATAAAATAATCAACTGTTCTATTATAAATATAAATACCAGTCTAATATACAAAAATAATCTTCCTAATTAAATACAAATCAAAATAATAAATATAAATACATTTTTCTTTAAATAAAATTTCAAACTAACAAAAATTATTTTTATATTAACAACCATTCTTAACAGTTATGTTAGTTAAGAGTTAAATTACAATAGGTGCTTTATATCGCTCATTAAGATTGTAGGTTTCAATAATAAAGCATTTTTTTCTTTTATAAAGTAACTAATTCATTCTCCATCTTTTCACTGACACGCTGAAAAGGGAGCTATATGGGTAGCCTACCCACTCCAAAAAATGTCCGAAAATTATATTTATATTTCTCATAAAATATTTTCTTCAAATAAGAAGAAAATTAATGTAGCCTCCCTTAACATTCATTCAAGTACACCTATGCTCTTATTATTAAGTAATAGTGTAAATAACAACTATGACAGCAACACACTTATGAAGAAATAAATAAATTGACTTAATCTTAATTATTTTTCAATTGTATAATAATTATTAAATATAGCAACAGAAAATTTATTTATTTCCTAATTTTTAGTAATTAATAGGTTAGAAATGCTAGTACCAATATGCAATTGTGTAGTGTATTAAATTTAAGATTTTACAATGATTAAATATTAATCTTTAATAGTAATGAATTTTACTACAAATTGTTCAGGGTGTTTTTTCTTCTAAATACTCTCAACAATTGGTAATATTTTACTTATTTAAAAAAATACAAAGTATATTTATATATATGCAATATACAAACTTGACTAAAACAATACAATTTTTCTTTATAATCAGTTAATTGATTTAAGTTAAAACTTTATATATATATTAAATATACAGTTTATATATATTTATATAATAAATTAAATTAAAATATTCTATAATTCACTTTCGCTTTCATTTACTTGTGAGTTATCACTAGATAAGTCTTCATTAGATTCCGCTAATCTCTGGTTGCTTAAAATTTGTGGTTCAGGTAATCGATTTAACAAAACCCGAAGTTCGCCAAGACTTCCACTAATATTTCTACCTCCTTCTGAAACAATTTAGTTAAAACTAATTTTTTTTAATCAGGACCATTCTCAGAGAGAGAGTGATACTATACTAAATGTTACATGCCAAATTACCCCACTACAACTATTTTAAATTTTAATTGAACATTTTTTTATACATGGAAGGACTATATAAAATAAACCAACAAAATTTTTACATATTTTTTAAAAATCTCCCGTTTTAGCCATATTTTTAAGATACAATTAAGTCTTTTTTGCTAAGTCTATATTCTCTACAGCATAATTCGTTAAGACCAAAATTAATTTTATATAAAAGTGGAATACTTGTATAAGTTTATGGCATATTATCTCTATGTATAATCTAAACATAGAGATAATTTTTTGAATTACCATATGGGTGTGCTAGGACATAATAGTTTAATAACATATTGCTCACAACAAAATCACTGACTAAACAACAATGCCCTTTAATTAGCTGTTAAATATCAGTATTTCCGATTATCATTTATTCACAATCTACTTTGGTTGCATTCACTGTAATGTAGAAGTACTACTGGTGGAGGTTTGAAGAAGAGATATAACCATAAATAAATTTTCTTAGACCTTTGGTTCTTAAGACTAGAGTATATTTAATAAAACAAATTATATACTCACCGCGTCTAACATGACTAACACATGCCAACATTCTCATCATAAATGATGATGGTACTGTTATAGTATCCTTTAACTCCTCCATCATTAACTTATTTCTTTCAACTAACTAAAATTATACAAACAGTATTCTTAAATTTTTATTAATTTTAAACAACCAATATTGACATTACGTACTTCATCAACAAAAGATTTATGAAACAAACTTTTTTCAGTAAGAGGACTCCATAATTTCACATTGTGATCAATTCCAGAAGTTGCTAATAAAGGTAATGATGGATGTGGTTGAATACAATTGACTACATGAGAATCAGCTAATAATAACATAACTATTTCACAAGTATAACGATCCCACACAAATACATGACCACAATCACTACCAGCCATTACAAAATTATTGCCCCAAAACACAGCTTCTTTAATCATAGTTCTACAATAAATTGTTTTAACAATTAAAAATTTATTATTTATAATGTTATGTAACTTAAATGTAAAGAAAAACAAACCTAGAGTTTCGATGGCCTTTGTATTGTGCTTTTATGCATTGAATAGGGACATTATCATCAAATTCTGGATATTGTGGATATTTTTTTTTTAAAAACTTAAACTTCTCAGTAGTTTGATTACTGATTGAATTAGACTCTTCAACATGATTCCTATTTTGTGATGTACTAAAAAAAGTATATATGTATATTAATAGAAGCACTTGCATAACTAAGAGACAGTAGCTAAAAGGATTAGTACCCCTAGAAGATGAATAGTCCCTCAAAAATAAAATAAGAAAATTATACTTGCTATATTATTCAATTATTTGAGTGGGAGAAATTAATTTAACAACCCCAAAAATTATATTCTTAATACACCTATTATAAAAATGTTTAAAAGGTCTAATAATATAATTTTATTTTTAGCATTTATATTAAATGTCTTTCCAAAAAAATAATTCAATACTTAAGAAGAACAAAAAACTTACAAACTTTAAATGTAAACAACTTCTATAATACTTATTAAAAAATTCTTATAAAACAGTCATATTAATGAAACAATTTTTTATATTTTTTATGTTATATTATCACAAAGTAATACAATATAATGGCTATGATTACTTAAAAGTATTAGTAGATTCAGTATCTATTTCCATAGGAACATCATCATTTCTATTTTCTTCTGAAATTTCATCATGAACATTTGATGATACATTAACTTCATTACTATTATTTCTGACTTCTATTCTAGATGGATTCAAAAAGTAACTAGGTCTCCCTAAAAACATAAATGGAACATATAATAAAATTCAACAAAATTTAAACTCTTTCTAACAATCTTGCATGATAACTGATCGCAATGAAGGAGTATTTAGCATATGTATTAACATCACAGTCATCCTCTCCATTAATGTTGATTGAATCCTTGATCTAGCAGATGAGGCTAAACATATTAAATTTTAATCTTTAACATAATATAATATGAGCTTTTAAAATGAATAAATTTATACTGACCATTTGAAGGTCTAGCCAAAGGACCAGTATCAGTCCAATCACCTCTCAACCTAAGTTGTCTATATGGAGGTGGTTTTGATGAATTAATTAAATAATCATTAACAACCTTTGGTTCTTTAGGATAATTATCATGTATACTGAATAAATATAAATCTTCATTAGAATAATTAGCTAGTACATCCTCCCCATCATGTGAAAATGACAAAGATGTCACCCGATAGGAACGATGATTTAAATGTGGAACTGTAAAAGCATAATCTGGAATAATTTTCTTAGTTGCATCTGTAAAATATTGCATTTTTTATTGATCTAATCATATATAAAAAATAATTTCACTAAATTTCCAAACTATGACAAACTTATTCTGATGGAAAATTCATTGAACTCAAATGAATTATTTATATATTAAAATAACATACAATAACAAAATAATAATAAATTACCTAATTGGATTATTTTACGCCTATCAACTATCCTAATAACGCTATCTGATGTTGCAACAGCAAGTTGGTAAGGTCGAACTGAATTTATTGCAATAGCAGTAACTGGATTGCCACAATCCATCAAAACAACCTAAATAAAATTGATTAAAAAATTATTTACAAATATTTAATTTAGTAACTTTAAAAATTAATTTGAAGTTTTAGAATTAAAAGTAGAAATAAACATATGAAAAATTTTGATTTAATATACCACAAACAATTTATTCAAAAAAAATAATTAAAAAAATTAAATATTTATAATTGTTTCTAATTATATAAGAAACTCCAAACAATAATTAAATAAACTTTACCTCTGGACAATGACGTTTTGTACATTTCACTCGATTTCTGAGATCAAACTGTCTAACTGTACCATCTTCTCCACAACTTATAAAACTGTATGAATCATCTGGTATTGTTTCTAGTTCATAGCACGTACCTTTATGACAAGTGAAAAAATTCCAACTTGTATCTTCTAGTCGTTCTATGTCTTTACACAATATATAATTCATAATATGAAATTGAAAATTAAATTAATACACTAACTTAAAATTTATGATGAACATTACCAAGATTTAAAATAGCTCCATCTCCTCCACAAGATATAATTTTAGTATTTGTAGAAGCTAAAAATTTAGCACAAAATATATTTGTTCTATGATTAGTCAGATAATCAAGATGCACTTTATAAGAAAATGGATCTGTAATTATTAAACGTTTGTCATCACCAGCAGATAGTAAAAGACTACCAGAATCATTCCAATTCAATGAGTTAACGCATCCACGGTGATTTTCCAATACTTTTTCTACTGATAATCTTTCTACTAAATGCTTACTATCTAAAAAATTCATATAGAAATTATAAATTGTATAAACTAAAAATTAAAACTAAATTTTTTTAGTGTTTGCTTATATAACAAGGATTTTTAAATTTTAAAAATTTATCTTTTAAATCTCAGGTATATAGTGGCATATTAGGGTTTTATTCTTTAAAGGAAAATATATAAGAAAATTTTTAAAAGCTCTCTTGAAACAAAAAATTAATATCTCCCAAATATAATTACTTTTGTTTTGTAATATAAAACCCTCTCCCCAATTACTTAAGTATGCCTTTGTCCCTAATTCATATGTAATAAATAATGTCGATTTTAAGAATTAATACATACTTCAATTACCTATAATACAACTTATTCTAAATCATTTAAAGAAGTACTAATTATTTAACGAATAATTATTATTTTCACAAGCTCTACCCACCTTTAGCAGCTGTGTACAATTTCACATTTCCCTTATCATTGTAAGGCTGAAAAAAGACGTTTCGAAACAATCCCTTAGAGGGATGCATGACATCAACTATGATAAATTAATTTCACGTTGCAATTGAGGATACAAATGGTTATAATATTCTAACTACAACACAATAATAATAATATTTTCGTCGTCTTTGTAACGAAGAATTGCTGAGTGGAAAGTAACCACAGACATTTGAAAACATGACGTGCAAGCTTTGCTGGCCCTTCTCCAACTTAATGCGCACTTTTTCAATCGACTAGTCCCACCGGTGATCATGACTAAAGAGCTTTAAATAAATATCCTAGACAAAACATATGATCTGAAAAGTGGGAGACTACTGAGAGATACAAAGAAAAAAGTGAGTGAAAAAATTCTTAGCCCAAAAAAAACATCGCATGTGCAACATACAAAATGCTATCTATACGTGTTTTCATTAAACGTCAACTACACCAATAATGTAAAAATACAAAATTTAATTGTTATTTACATTAATGCTTGTTATCAACAGCTGATCCGACGCGCTATCACTATTTCCACTAGGTAGTAGTAATTGTGGTACGATTGTCACAGCTGCAACTACTGCCATAACTGAGTTATGTTGTACTGACGGAAGAAAGAAACCGATGGCCGCCGTTGGGGCCAATCAAGGTCAAATACTCAACACAAAGCGCACAACTGCTTGGCCATTGTCGTTTTTTCTTCATCCAATTGGCTCCGTTCTGCGGAACTCGGTCGTCACTCACTAACCAGTCTGGTTGTATCAGTGGTCACTGCTGCATTAGTATCACGAGAGACACCAGTCCGTTGGTGTTGTCGTTGTACCGACGATAACAAACTCGATACAGTATTTCCGCCAACTAATCATAACTAAATGATAGTAATTTTATATTTACTTGTTTTTTAACCGGTGTAATATTAATTTTATTCGTTTTGGCGTCGTAGACTGTTCGTTTATAAATCTTTAATTTTATCGTGAAGATAGGAATTTATTTCTGCACATATTACCTAATCTCGTGTTTATGTGCGAAGAAAACCTACGAATCAAAGAAAACTAATCATCTTATCCTCGTTCCCAAAAAACGTAAACACGGCTCTCCGAACGCGTGCCTCGAGGCTGCTGACGACATGTCATCGTGTTAGGTCCGACGACAGCGGATGTAATATGAATGACATCGAAACTATAGCGGCTTCCGTTTTCTATTCTGCTAGAGACGGGAGGCTAAAAAAATTACAGGTGAGCAAAACTATTTAATTTATGAATTGTCGATCTTTCTTAGGATTAAGATTTTTCTCATATTATGTAATCATAGTAGAAAAATTTTCTTTGCAATTGCCTAATATTATCAGTATGTTTTTACATATTTTAATTGAAAATTAATCTACCAAAAGAATAATATTTTAACCTAACTTAAATTTGAATTAAGGAAGGACGATTTTCCTATTTTTGGTTTTACTTGTCTGCTATGACATTTTTAAAAAGATGACCTTTTTTACTCTTCATTTTTTTGTGAAAGAAATATTTTCTTAAGATTGATCCCATATTGTTCTTTGTAGATATATTTAAAGATACCTGTTTTATTATTTTTATTTAGTATATTTTTCGTCATATTAAATTATGATAAATGTTCAATGAACTTGCAAAGTCATTTACAATTTTTCAGTTGCTCTGATATATATTCTATTTTAATAGAAATTCTTTTTTTTAACTCAGCATGCATACAATCCTACTTATTGGCACTCTATACTAGTGTACTTAGCTACGTTCAACTAATTAATATATAAAATATATGTTTATAGTATTTTCATTTCTATTAAATGCTGATTAATAATTCTATAAAAAAAATAAAAATACAACATCATATAACATGTAATTATTATAATTACTTATTGATTTTACACATTATACGTCAGTAATGACATTAATGATATCTTCCTGTACCAATCGCATTATCAGTTATGCAATAAATTTTTATATTATGCAATTCCTTCATGATTAAATTAGTTACTTATAGTTATTTTAATATATATTGTACTCTGAAATGTGATTTAACGCCAGTTTTTAATATACAATACACTTAAATAATTGTCTTTTATTTAGATTATTATCATATGTATTTATGGGAAGAATGAATAGAAATAGATTTGTGTAATGTTGTGTGTCTTTATATTTATATATAATTTATTAAAGTATAATATACTATTTTCAATTGTGTCGCTTACCAATTTTAGTTTATATTTACATATTGATAAATAGTTTAATATCTGATTACATTAATCAAGCAAAAAAATAATAAATTGGTTTAGAAATTATATGAATTTATTAACTTGTAGGTAAACAAACTTATTTTTGTTTTTATATACCTAAAAAAATCTCATTCCAATATATTAAAATAACCCTTAAAATTAAATCAATGAAACATCTGTCAAATTATATTCATAAATGACTTGCAAAAGTAGTAGTAGTATTAATTTCTTGATGCATTATACTATATTTAATATACTGAAATTGAATTATACTTTAACACTTTTCTCTAATTAAAAAAAAAGGGGTAAATATTAAAAAGTGCTTATTAATAATTGCTAGAAAAAGAATTATATAAATATTAATATATATGTATATGTATATATGTATATATTTATGATATAAATTTTTATTTAAAATTATAAATCACAGGTTATTTATGTTGTAAGTGTATATATTTGTAACTCAATTGAATTATTAGCCTATATGAATGGGTGGAAAATTGTTTATTTTTTCAGTGTATATAAATGTTTTATACTTGATAGTTTTAAAACCCTCTTGATGTCTTTATCAGTGCATGTGCCTGTTACACTTTATCTGTTCCTACCAATTAGTGAATTTCATATGTTATGATATTAATGTCGACTGGGTCATGGTTAATTAATTTTGTCTTTATCTGCTCACAACCACTTTATCAAAGTCATTTTGATTACTGTCATCTCTATTTTTTGTAATCTTAAAATATATGAGAAAATTAATTATTGTAATTAATATTAAACTTAAAATATCAGCTAATAAAGTCATAACTTATACATTTTACTGCCTATATCTTCCTCAGTGTCCAATTTCTTTTTTCTTCTTTTCTGCAAACTCTGACAGTGTTACTATGTCCTATTTTCATATTAGAATATTAGAAAATATTTTACATTGTGTTCATTTTCTAACTGTTAAAATTATTTAATTTAGAATAATTTTGTATTTTATTTAACATAAAATTATTCTAAACATTCAGTTTACATATTTATTCTTTCTCTAAATGTTAAATAAATTGAACTTAACCAAAATTTTAATTAATTTATATTTATAATTATTTTTTCTCAATAAAATGTTTACTTTATTTAATTAATTATTATTCAAATAAAAGTGTTTTTAATAAAAAAAAAATTAAGTTAAATTATTTAATAAAAATTTAACTTACTTTTCTAGCGAGTTAAATTAGTTTTAAGTTTTCTACATTTCACAAGTGTAATGTAATTTGTCAAAAATCTTAAAGAATAGTTAAAAAAACGATAAACAAGTTTAGTCATTATCATTAGTTATATAATAAAATCAATGATTATTGGACCGGTTGTGACCCTTTGTGAATAATCACAATTCGGTAAAATATTATTTTGTTCTACTTAAAAAGTAGTAACAATAATTAATTAAAATACATGCTTATATTTCTATTCAATAAGTTTGAATAATAACTTTTATAAAAAATCTAAAAGTTAGTAAATAATTTAAATTTTAACTATTTTTTTTTTTTTGCTACTTTCATAAAAAAATCTGGTGCAGAATTGTTCAAAAACCCCAAAAATGTATTAATCGCTAGGATTATTAGTTTTAAACTAAAGTATATCTAATAATGCTTTGTGTCATAAAAAATTGAAATTTTTAATATTTTCTATTTATTTTTTACTTTGTAAAAGTTTTGATACATAAAAAAAACATACTTAGTTCAATTATATATAATTAATTTTAAAGCATTAATTACATTATTTATCGATTTGTTCTTTAAAGTGCATTGTTAACGTTTATTTTTTTAAATATTCTTCTTATTTTATCAACATGAATGAAAATAGAAAACAGTTAAGTGACCAATATAAAAAAAATTGCCTAATTATAAAGTGATAGACTTCAAAATGTTTTAAATCAATTACCGAGGTTAACTAATTTTTGTAACAAATCAGTTTCTTCTACTTATTGTACAAAAATTATAGTGACAATAAAATAAAAAATACTTTGCCAGTTGAAGTTGTTAAACTGGATGATAGTTGCGTGTCTCATCTCAATTCAACTAATATGAGTTTTAATACGTTAATTTGATTTACGAAGATTAAATTGACTCATTTACGAAAACTAAATGTCATTGCATTTAAATTATTACATCGATTTTATAAATATTAATTATATATTATGTATTACATATGTGTTATTCTACCATTTATGTATTCTTTTTTATTTCAACCACATATTACTTAAATTAATAATATAATACATTAGAAATAATATGTATTTTATGATTTATTAATAAACAAAGATCTGCTTGAAAAATATTTTTAAATACTTTTTTTTTCTAAGGTAAAGTGTTATGACGAAAATAGAAGAAATTGACCCTCCCTTCAGTAACGTAATAAATGGCGGCAAATTTTGAAATGTCTATAGGCGAAAAATGTGTGAATACACTCTGTGTAGTATAATTTATATTACATAGAATAATTAATGTATTCGGATTGCGTACTATTTTCGTTTTTTTTTTTTAGATTAATAATGAAGAAGTTTGGCTAGATTTGGATTTCATGCTAGAATTTACAGTCCAAACTATAACATTAATATAACAACATCATTGTTGGTGAATTGTAAAAATATACGTACACAGGGCAATATACTGCTGACCACGTGTCGAGAACAACTAGCGCGCGTGTGTGTGTTGTGTATAGACGCAATAACGAGTTGCACGTTTTAAAATCCGTAAAAATATTACCCAATGTATTGTTTAGTGTAATGTTATTTATCAGAAGAATAATTCAAAAGAACACTATCCAACATACGCCTGAACTTAAAAATATAATTTTCCATTAATCTGTCTTTTTATATTTGTTTGTAAAGTCGTGCGTTAGTTGTACCTATTGTTTGTTCTCGGCGTTTCCTCGACCGCTGCCAACAGCCATACTTTTTATAGAAACAAGTTTCTTTGTCACAGAGTTATTTTCATGTCGGATGTCTGTTGACGTATTCCAGTTCAGCAGTAATTATTCTTTTTTGTCTTAAACGATGTCTTTTAATTTGATCCTGTAATCAGTAAAGTTCTTGCTGACCAAGTAAAATCATCTTTTCTGAATTTTATGGTCATAATAGATAAACAATATAAGTAGGGATCATATTAATTTGTCTTGACGATTGTTAATAATTTCTAACCAAAGTAATATTATGTTGAGCAGTATGATGTATACACATTACATTATGTATGGTGTATGTTATATTTTGGGTACTATTGAGATTAAATGGCCTTAAATCTTTGTTAACAAATAAGGTTTGCTATTCTACTAACAAACAAATTTTGGGCATTATTATTATAACCCCTATGTCATGGAATACTTGCACTAGTTTTTGTAATAAGTCCAAAACGTCAATTTTGTATAAAATAATTTGACATGACTCGTCGTTTTAATAATAAGATTATCATCTAAAATAATATTCTTGATAATTTTCAAAACTTGATTTATTTCGAATAACTAAACACTTAATGTTTTTTTCTCAATAGATGCGTTTAAATAAATTTGTATTGAAAAACTTAGTTATACTTAAATTATTCAGATGTTAGTATCCTTGAGCTTTGTGTGAAATATCTTCCGTATCGTCCGAGACTTATTTATTCCATTTAGTCGCGTTTTGCGTCAAACGTTTCATTTTAAAGTATAAAAAATTACAATAAACTTGTACCACGTTCTAGACTAAAACCTTTTTGGCCGTCGGTCAAGACTCGAACATAATAATAACGAATTATATTGTGTTAAAAAAAATAAATTATTTAAATTTTACAATGAAATTTTCTTTTTCAAATTTTGATTATTCTACGTTGTATTTGTCTTTATATTTTTTCTATCTTGAAATTACTTGATTACGTCGTAGCATAAAACGAACATGTTATTATTTATTTACTTTTTTTTTTTTTGGCAGCACAACAAGACGCAAGTTTCCTGAAATAATATTGATATAACGATGGTGTAGCAAATAAATTATAATTATACACACTTGCAATTGCGTTTTTCCTAAATAACTATGTGCACGAGCTCTACAGTTTTTGCACGTGTTCCGGATTTCATTTTTACATTTGTTAATTGTTGCATATTGTCTCATACTGACTGACAAAAATATAATTATTGTTAATGATATCAAACATTGGTTTATTTGGTTTCATATTGTTGTCATCACAAGGTCATCGATGCAAGTACAACCAAACGTCTTCCTCGTTCTCTCTAATCTCAATGTGCCATTGACATCAAACGTGGCACAATTTAACATTTAAAAATTTTGAAAATTCTATTAAAATATGTTATATTATAATTACGTTTTAATGACTCTCGTGTTTCTTAATAATATAATTTCCAATATAGAACTTCGGTATTCATAATTCTGTTATAAGTTATTTAAAAATCTTAGTCAACATGTTATGTTCACTTGCAATTTACAAGATGAAATTACAAAATTTAATTTTAAAAATATATTTACATTTACATATATGTATATATAATTTTAAATTAAAATCCTAAAAAATATCATACTTTTTTTTAAAATATGCAACTATAATTAATTTTAATTAACTTTCATTTTTTATTAAAGAAATTTCAAATTATTCATATTTCTTTGTCAATTATATGATTGTTTTATTCTTTATTATTTTGACATTAATGAATAGTGCGCCTGTCGTTAAAGAAATTTTTGCCAAACATACTGCGCCCATATATTCCTGTTTTTGTATTTTATATGTAATGTGTTACTTTGTTATTTACATAAAGTAATTACTAATTTGCTACACTCAATAACCACATGCTTCTCTAAGTGAACAATCGGTTCATTATATTATGTAATATTAAAATTTATTGATAATCACAACCTTACTAAATATCTTTAATATTATAGGGATTCATTACACTTTTGTGTAGATTAAAAAAGGTACCAATTCATGTACATTATCAGACATTTGTTTTGACACAGCTTAAAATTCCTTATCTTTCCAATTGTTTTCTCTTATAAATTATACTAAAACGAGATAATTATCAACAATAAATAATTTAGTAAATTGTTTTTAGGATTGTTTGTGTCCAATTTATTGGTAATTTGTACATTATAATAAACGTCGTTAGGTCTTTTTAGTCGTTAAATTTTATATTTTCTAATTAGTCTCTTTGCAACAGTTATCTTCTATTTTTTTGTTTAATTATTCATATTTAAATGTTCATTAAAAACAAATTTGTATTTGATTATTTGAAATTTCTAGAAAAGTATTTATTATCTATTTTATTAGTGGTATTATCATTTTTAGTTCAGAACTGTTGTCTAAAGGCGTAATCTGGGGGGTCTAAAAAGATCTATAGAGCTATAGGAGCTACCTCTATTTCTGTCACGGCTCCCCAAAAATTGTGAAAATTACTTGAAAATAATTTTAGAAATGTATTGTAAGAAGGTGAGAAATAAGGTAAGATCCCTTAAACATTTTCATCAAATTTATTTTTAGTTTAACTGATTTAATTATTCCTTTTAGTGTACCAATTATTAAATATAAACATTAGTCACCATTCCTACGTTTCGCTAAAATTAAACATTTAAACTTTCCAGATTATTATTTAAATCCTGACCTTGAATGATTCTAATCTCGTTACGTTCAATAATACTTTTAGTAATACAATAATAATAATATTTATTTTATCACATGAAGATTTATTTATTACTACAGTATTACTATTGTATTTTATCTAAATGATTCACTATTGCATAAATATACTAAAATTTATTACAGATAAAGAAATTGAATAGTTTTTTTTAATTTACATTACATTTCATAATTGCAATAAAATAAGATTAATAATCTTTCAATTTTCATAAAAAAAAAAAAACATTTATTTTAATCTCATAATAAAAACGTTAAATTAAATCCCTAAACGCTTAGGTTATTTTAAATATTTTAGGTAAAATTTACATATGAAGTCGACTATTATTAAATACTACTCGACTCCATTAGAGTCGTATCTCGATATTAGTTTTTCTTGTCGTAGTTATAATGTAATTAATTATACCTCTAAATTTTTCAGTTTTTCTGATTTTATTTTATAAACCTTTTTTTTTTACTTTTAAAATAAAAGGTTATTTACTCCTTTGTCCCGTCTAAATACGCCACTGAATCTCATACGTTTGCTAAACTCAAACTAGCCATTATTACTTATGTTATTTCCAAAAAGTTTTATTTAAAAAAAAAAAACTCGCATTTGTTGTCGGTTGCATATGTTACCGAAATAAACGATTAATACAAAAAAAAAAATTATACATAAATAATAAATCATTGTAAAATTTTTACACTGAAAAAAAATATAGATATAACACTTCGATTTAGTATTATTTTTATTTTCAAGTAAATAATTAAAACTTTCTATGCTCGCGTCATAATATCAGGAAGTGAAAGGTGAACTGCTGGCATTTGCCCAGTGATTCACAATCGAGGCCTGTTCAATACCAAGGTCGATATTTCTTTATGTCAATTTATAAATTCCAGTACGATACTCAAGTCCAATTATAAATTTAGACTTCTTATTTCGTTTTCGCGATTAACGAATCTTAAAGTCTTTATTATTTGATATGTATTGTACTAATAATAGTAAAATAATTGTTTAGATATTTTACTTTTTCAAAAACTAATGTTAATTATTTTATTAGATAAGTTGTCGTCATAAACTAAATAGAATACAAAATAAACAATTAACAATAATGGTTTTGTAGTTGTAATTAGATTAAACCAGACTATCAAAATTGAAATAAATCGCTGTTAAATTATATTATATACAGTTAATCGTAACCAAGGCCAGTTGTTCAAGTTCAAAGAACTCATAGTATTTACCTATATATATGTTTTTATCTTTTTGTTATGTGAAAAAAAATTTCGTTGGTCCATTCTGTTAAGTTCAATAAATTTGCTTGTTTACAATTTTAATTTACTCTGTCTAAAATTTTACAAAAAATGGAAATTTGTCTGAAAAACTCTGAAATTTATTTATACCATTTGTTAAGAATTTTATAGTAAATCCCACGATTGTTTTTTTTTTTATAATAGTTAAGGAGCTCCAAAAAACACCTATTTAGGATATGAATAATTTTGATTTTCAATTTGCTATTTTTAGGTTCTATTGCACATCTCCATTATACAAGCGACAATCCTCTGTATGCAGTATTGATATCAACTTGTTTATTATATTACGGATTTTACTATTGATAAACTTAACTTTTTCGAATGTTGAAAATCGAACATGGTCCCATAAGTTCTTAAAGTTTATAATTTATTGATCTATGGCATACCACTGAAAATTCTTTTTATCTACCTTTTTTAGGGTTACTAACAGTCTTTATACTTAGTTATCTAACCTTACATATTTTTACCCTTTTGTCTTATTTCTTGATAAATGAAACAAAATTTATTGGTATGAAAAATCCTGTCGAAAAACTAATTATTTCTAGACCATTTATTTTTTGTTGATAAACCCCTTACGCGTAAAAAAAAATGTTCAGTATGACTATCCCATATTTACATATTTTCTCGGTACGTACTTAGATGTTAAACAGAAATTTTGCCATAATATTTTTGACAAGGTTATTTATGATTAAACAATTTATTGTTTTAAGATTAATTTAATGTTAAATTTAAAATTATCACTGCTATATGATACTTTATAATCCTTAAAAATAATATTGTAAATAGTGGAGTATGTGATTACATATTTTTTTCACAAGATAACTTAGCACTATCTTTAAGTACGTTCTATATTTTATTATTACTATTTAATACATTTTTTCCGTTTCGGTTTTGATGTTTACTTCACGTCTCAACGGTTCATGGTAATAATTTATTCGAATAGACCTTGAACTGTTTAGAAAAAATGACCACACCACCTTGCACCCCATATATGGTGGTATATATTTACCGGTCTGTTACAAGCCTACAGGTAGCCTAATCCAAAAGCATGATTGCTCTCCCATTTCCTTGAACTTTCCATATATAAACATTATTATAACTTATACAGTGGTGTCAAACCTGTAAAAACGTGACCGCATTATTCACTTCCTGGTTATTTTGTCACCTCTAATTTTAGATGGATTGTTGATAAATATATTATGATATATAATTCTTTAATTAATTATTAATTAATAAGACTTGAACTATTTATAATTGTTCATTTCTAGTAGCATATTTAAATGTTTTTTAAAAATTGTTTTTGTTCGTTTTTCAGTTGTTATTAGAAGGCAAATCTCCTATGGAAAATGCCAAATTGTTGAAAACTACAACAAACGGTGCAACTCCATTGCTGATGGCCTGTCAATATGGACATTACGATGTCGCCATGTATTTAATAAGAAAACACAAAGTTGATATTGAACAAACTGGATCAGGTAAATATTGTTATTTCACTTTGGATACTTGGTTTCTTGAAGCAAAACCTATCCCCCACTTGTTAAAGTGAGATAGGTTGTATAATTATTTATGTACAATTTAATAACATGTAAATATGCAAATAAATAATATAATTTTTTTTGTTTTAAAGTAGACTATATAATATTCATAATTTAATTATGTTTAATTTGTCTCATATTTTTTTTTAATATACAAGGTGATTGAATTATTGTAGACTACTGGATTTTTTATAAAATAATTTAAGGAATTTCATTTTTATTTAATTAGTATTTATTCCTTGATTTTTGATTAAATCTTTATTTAGTCCTATCCCTTATGAGGGTATCAACTTTATTTTTTTAAATAGCAACATGTGTATTAAACTAGTTCATATAACAGAAAAATATTCAACTAAAAAAATGACTAGTCAATAGTAACTTTTGAATAAGTAGTTCATGATTTTTAATATTTTTATACCATAGTAGAAGTAATAGCACAGAAGAGTGAAATGTAATGACAGAAATAACATAACTCGCACCTCACCTATAGTTAACATTTAAAAATGTTAATAACTTTTAATATATTGGTTTTAAAGTTATTATTAAACTGTCATTTTCTTAGTTAGATATTTTTATGTTATATGAACTAGTTTAATACACATGTTGTTATTTAAAAAATAAAGTTGGTACCCTTATAAAAAATATGGAATAGACTTAAAATAAAATTTAACTACTCAAAATTCGAGAAATAAATAATACTAAACAAAATCAAGATTTTTTTTCAAAATTAATATTATTTTAGGAGAAATTTAGTGGTAAATCATAAACTAATCACTCTGTAGTGATTGTCTTTTTTAAGTTTCATTTTCTATAAATTTGGAAGAAGCAATGTTGACATAAGATTTAGCATGTTTTATTACTCAGCTAATAAAGACACTTTCTTTACTCTTAAAAATTAATTCTATTTTTTATTTAGTGGTATTTGATGGTGAAACAATAGAAGGAGCGCCGCCATTATGGTGTGCATCAGCAGCTGGTCATCTTACTATAGTTAAATTATTAGTCAAAGAAGGTGCCATTGTAAACTCTACTACCAAGACAAACTCAACACCTTTAAGGGCAGCTTGTTTTGATGGACACTATGAAATTGTTAAATACCTAGTTGAACATGGTGCAGGTAAAATTATTTAGTTTTAAATAATGATATTTAGAAATAGAAATTAATAGCATTTTCATCTTTTTTCGTATTACCCTTATAAGTGTATAAGCCGGTCATATACAAAATCTGATACATATATGACAATATATGTATATATATATTTTAATGTATTTTTTAATTATTATTTATTAATAAATTATTTTTATTGTACTTTTGGATCATTTTAATAGTATTTTTATTCAATTTTGTTGACAATTATATACATTTTTGGGGTTTTTAATTATTTTAATAACATTTATATACATTTTTTGGTAATTAAATGTCTTTTTTACATAATAAGCATAATTACAACATTTCAACAAACAATATTTTTATATAAATTTTTCTATGAATTGAAGAGTATTGTAAGTCAAAAGTCGATTATATTAATAAATTTACATGATTTTTTGTATAACTCAGTACAAAAACAAAGATATTCATATTATTTGTAGACATTATTAAACTAGAAAGAAACTTTACTTATTGCTTTCAAAGAAAAACATTTCAGAAAATTGCTTTGTTATAAAAATAACTTAAAATTGATTTGGATATTATTTATTGATTACTTAACAAATATTTATTTATTTATTTCCTTAGTTATTTAAAGAATTGTTTATAAATAACACATTAAGTGTAGGTATTAAGTTTATCATTTTCTTAGTTCTAGTAATAGTATATTTTAAGTATTAATAGTCATGACAAGGTCAAGATAAAAAAAAATCATTTTTTATAAATTATTATAAAACATGAAAATGTATTAAATAATGTAATTATTAATACATTAACATTATAATTAAAAATGTAATAAAATATTTTTGAATAATTGAGTCAAAATTATTAAATGATTTTTTTCTTATTAAAAAATATCTTAATTTCATTTGTCATTTGTGGTACCATTTTTATTTGTGAAATTATGTATGAATAATAAATAGCATAAATAATTACTACTAAAATATTTATTTTATTAATAATTGTTGTATCTAAAATTTTATTTATAAAATTCTGATACCCAATTTAAGTTATATGTATACTTTTTTTTGCATCAACTTTAATAATTTCTATTTCTAACTTCAGTTTTAAAACATCAATTACCTTTTTTTCTACTTATGGTTTTTTAATATATCAGTGGGCCACTATGTGCCTACTACTTGCATATACGATATTTAACCAATGTTTGTTGTTTAGTATTTAATTGTGTGAGTAACCCTTTAAATATACTAATAGTATAATTAAATATTAGCCATTATAACAGGGCAGTATTAGCTATGTTGGAAATGGTCTTGTTATCTTGAAGGTGAAATTTATTAACTGAACAATCATTCTTATGATATTTGTTGAAAATTTAAATGTTGTTATTTCAATTATTGTTTTTTTGCTTTTAAGTGATCAATTTAATTCTCCTTGTACTGTGTAAAAATTTGCATAATGTGCGTTAACAATGTTAAATATTTATATTTAATATATTTATATTTTTGGGGCAATGATTGTGTGAAACATCCCTTAATCGTTATAAACATAACTTTTATTAAACTTTATCTCAATTAAAATAATTTTTTATTACTATTTTTTTTAATTATTCAATATATGTGTTTAGACATTGAAGTATCAAATCGCCATGGCCATACTTGTTTAATGATTGCCTGTTTCAAAGGTAACTATCAAATAGCTAACTATTTATTGTCATTAAAAGCAGATATAAACAAAAAAAGTGTGAAAGGTAATACTGCTTTACATGATTGCGCTGAATCTGGTAGTTTGGATATTTTTAAAATGCTTATAAAAAATGGAGCGAAAATGGAAGTTGATTCCTATGGTTAGTATTTTTATAACTGTTGTTTATTTGCTTATAATTTTAATTATTTTTTTTTTTTTTTTTTTGGAATGACTCCTATTTTAGCAGCTTGTGTAACTGGTCATGCAGATATTGTAGAATATTTAGTAAAGAGTGATAATTTAGTAACGCGAAAAGAAAAAATTGAAGCATTAGAGTTACTTGGTGCCACTTATATCGATAAGAAAAGAGATTTAATTGGAGGATTTGCATTATGGAAGCAAGCTATGGATTTGAGATTTAGTGATGACGATGAACAGGATTTACCAAAACCAGATAATGCATTACCAATTGAAGCATATGAGTGGGCCCAAGAAGTAAAAAATCATGAAGAACTTAATGAGTTATTATCTGAACCTGATGAAATGAGAATGCAAGTATGTAAAACTTCTAGTTTTTTTGTTTCAATTTATCTATGGTGATCAATTTTTTAGGCTTTAATGGTAAGAGAAAGAATTTTAGGCCCCACTCATCCAGACACCAGTTATTATGTACGATACCGAGGAGCTGTTTATGCTGATGCTGGCAAATTTACTAGATGCATATCTTTATGGAATCATGCTTTAGATATTCAAAGAGGTTCTCTTGAGTCGTGCCATCATATGACAGTTTCTTCTTATTTTTCCTTTGCCGAATTGTTTTCATTTATGTCTGATGCTTGTGCTACTAATGAAGAAAATGGTTACAGGCAAATGCCTGCCCTATTAACTTTTGAAGACGTTTTTCAAGTTCTGACAAAAGCTGTTAATGAACTCGTTGAACCCAAGGAGCAGCCATCATCATTTGATTTATCTCCTAGGTTGTTACTCATTTCATTGGATCTCTTCAATATGGCTCTTAAGTAATAAACAATATTATGAAAAATTATTTTATACAATATTATTTAAAAAAGTATTCCTTTATTTATTTATTTTTTTTTTTTTCAGATTAATTAGAAATGATGAACAATCACATTTAACACACCGCTTACTTTATCATTTAAATAAATCTAATATTTTAGGACATCTTGGTCAAACACCTATTCACTTAGCTAGTGCCAGAAAAACTGCTTTAGCAGTACCTTTACATCCACAAATAGCTCATTTAGATGATTTGTCTTTACTCCTCAGAGCATTACTAAAAATTGGTGCCGATCCAAATTCAAGAGATAATGATGGTAACACTCCACTTCATCTTGTAACACCCAAAGACACAACTACTATAAATCTTTTATTGGGAGGAGGAGCACATTATGATTCTGTGAATAATGCTGGTCGTACTTTTTGTGATATGCGTAAAGCTTCACCTCACAACCCACTTTGGCACACATCTTTAGCTTGCCATGCTGCCCGTGTTATACGTAAAAACCGCATACCATTTGTAGGACACATACCAGTGACGTTATATGAATTTGTTGAAAAACATTAATTTAAAAAAAACATGTTATAATTTTAAATGTTTATTCTGTATGGTTTAATGTTTCTTTAATTTATTTTTCACACCAAAAAATTAATTTACTAAAATAATATATTTATATATTGATGGCTTTGATGGATTCCAAATGTAAGCCAGTCACTTAAAATTGTTCTATAACTAAAGGAAAGTTAGAACTTGTATGTGTGTATGTACTACTTTAAAGACTCATTTAAGTATAAATTTTGCCTATTTTAAATTTAATTAATTTAAACTTTTATCATGTAGACTAAGGAATTATAATTTAAAATAAAAACAAATTTTTTATAAGTATATTCTAAGCCATCAGTATTGTTAGTATTACATTGTAAAATAATATTATATGGAGCAAATATTCACATAACCAGTTTAAATCAAAAAACTGCTTTTAAATCCATATTATTAAGACTCCAGAATTACTATTAATGTGTTTCAAATATGATACGATTAAAGTAATAAGCATTTACATACTTAAGTATTAATTATGTATTGATACCAAACTGTAATATTTGTCTGAGATTATTTTCTTGTTTATAGTGAGAGTAGACGTTTTTGGAACTTAATTTTATTTATGTATAATATAGTTGTAATACTTTGTTTACCTAGATAAAGTTAAATAATTTTATTTTGTAATAAATAAATTTTATTAAAATAATTAATTTATGACTTTTTATGTATCCTACAGTTTATCCTAAAAAATATTAGCTCAAAAAAGGTGAGCTAATGTATTTTTATTATTATTATTATTATTATAGCAATACCGACTGCTGCAGAGGTAATTGGCCATATTTATTAATATTATAATGGTTCAAATTAATTTACATAACCAAGGTTTTCTATAAGGAAGTCTATAGTCCAGTAAGCCTTCAATTAAAACCATCAGATCCAATATTTTATTTAAAAAATACTTAACAGTTTTTTTTTTATTATTAATAATTAGCAGTATAAATAAATTTTAAAACTATAAATTAATTTTATTATTAAAATATAAAACTTAAGATAACAAGTTTATAATATACATTTATTTGATAAATAGGTAGTCATTAAAAAAAAAATTGATAAAGCTTAACTTTTTTAGAAATTACTTATACCTGTTATTAATGCTAATCACTTTCAATTTCATTTGTTTCATCCTGAGCTTTGAAACTTCTCTTAAATATCTCTGACATTCTTTTCATAGCGTCCAATTTTGTAAATGCTTCAACACTTTCATCATCACTACTTTCAGCCTGAGATATTGGTTCTTGAGAAAATAAATCACTATGCGGTTCAATAATATCTTGATTTTGAGAACTAAATGGCTCTCTCAAAGATTCACCTAAAACTTGTGGTTCATTTTGAATTTCAGAATTATCAATGTTTTGTAATTTTTGAATAGACTTTTGTTTAACCAAAGATATCCCTTTATTTAAAATTTTATCGAATTTTAGTTTGATTTTTTTTAAGTATTTTGCACTATTTTTATCATCATTTCTTTTTAAAAATTTAATTAATCGATTGACTTTTGTGCTTAATACATTTGACTGTTCTTCATCATTATCAAATATAATCTCCAATTTGCATAAAGTATCTACAAGCATTGCAGAATATGGTTGTTCTTCCATCAAATATTCCATAATATAACCGGCCAGTTCACTGTGGGCATTAATAGCCATTTTTTCATTTTTAAACATTAATCCTCTTGTAATATTTATCAAAGTTGAGTTAACTTCTTCAGGATTTATACCCAATTTCGCTATCAAATTATGTTCATCAATTTCTTTAAATACTGGAACATAGCATTTTGAAAGAGTACTACTGCTAGAGCGAATGTAAAATACATACGAGGTAAAAAATTGTACAAGATCATTAGAAATATTAAATGATTCACGAGTTACTCGTTTGAACCAAATAATTAACAACTTAGAAAGCAAGTTAATTGATTTTACTTTTTTAAATATTAATAAATCACAAAATCCTTTTACAACAACTGATTTAAAACTATTATCATCCACATCATAATCAATGCAACTAGCCAAAAGAGGAAGAACATTTGAAATGTAAAATACATCATCATACTCCTCATAGATATCTAAGTTTTTTTCTATACCAAAAGTCTTAAGATCATAACACAGAAACAATTCGAAAATTATTCTAAAAATTAGACGACGATCAGTTGAGGAATTTGATATTTCAGCACATAAAGTAGCTATATGTTCTTTTGCAGCATTAGGATTATTTGCTAATAAAAATGGAGATAAAGCTCGTATTGCTGCCATTCTAATATTAACTTCAGAACAATCTAAGTATCCTACTACAATATTTTGAATAATATCAGTTAGTAAAGAGAGTTCAAGGCTTACTTTAGATAACTGTTGTACTTGAAAAACTAACTCAAAACCTTTAAGTAAATTTTGTGCTGCCTGATCTACCAATACAACTTCTTTTGGTAATACATTTATTTCTTTAAGTTGTTTTTTTATTTTTTTTATTTTTGAAACTAATAATTGAACATTGTTTGAAGTTGTTGGTTCATTTTCAATCAACTCTTCAAGTCTGTTAGTTTTTAAAAGTAATTCTTTTTCTAATGTTTCTTTTTTACCAACTTTATCAATAAATGAATACATGTCAATTGTACGGCTTTGTATTTCATTCAAAATTTCTTTAATATAAATTAAAATATCTTGACCATTTTTAAAAGTAAAATCTAGTAATACTGATATAGGTTTAATAGGAGCTAAACTTGTTTTATCATCTAGTATTAAATCTGAACACAATTTGTTCAAACTTGCTGCTCCAAAGTCATCAATTGCAAATGTTCTAGCCATATCTAATAACTGTACTAATACAAATTCCTTATCTTTAGAAGGATAGACAAAGTGGTACTCACGAATATAATCTGAAAATTTAGCTAAATCTGGTAGCAAAACGTCAACATAATCATCATCAACAAAACCTTTATTTCTAGCTAACTCTATTTTCTTTTCTATAGTTAAATATTTGGCCACACACTTCCATAAGAAAATTTTTTCTACGGATAGATTTCCATAATCAATCATTCTAGTCTCTGTGTTTATATATTCTTCCATTAAATCTAAAATTTGACTATCATAGTAAGACTCAAATATTATATTTAATGTTTTTTCACATAATGATTCATTTTCTACATTTAATCTTTTAAGAAATACAACAAAATCATTTCCACAAGATTCTAACCAGCAATCTAACAATCTTTTTTGAACTAAACATTTAATATTTTCACTTTTATCATCTAAACCTTTTTCTAATATAATTTGTCTTTGTTTAGATGACAAACTTTGATAAGGATAATCTAGTAAACGATTATAAGCTTCTTTTCTGACATTATCACTTATATCATTAATTGTACTTTTTAGCATCTCATTGACCACATTATTGAACATACCAATTTCTTTAACAATTGCAGTTCTAACTTCAACACTGGGATCACAAGACATATGAAATATAAATTTTTCTACTATTGGACAGTTGGCATTATCTGGCATTTGTAGTCTATGTAAAGCATGAGCAGCTTGAGCTCTAATTTCCGATTTTTTATCCTGTAACCGTTCTAGCAAGAGTTGAGTAGCTACATCACACAATTCAACAGACAACACAGCACCATCAGCCATAAAACTTAATAAATGATTCAAAAAGAAACAAAACCTCCATCTGATATTCTTGTCTTTTACTCGACCATACTTACGGCACAACCGAAAAATTTCTGCTATCAAATGTAAGCCCTTACGACCATCCTTTGTTGTATGTTCAGCCAAAACAGAAACACCACTCGCAGCAAATTTAATCATATTATTTACAACTGTGCAATGTATATTAGTATCTGAAACAATAACAGACATAATCGCGTCTAAAAATGGCGAAACAAATTCCACCCAAGTTGCATTTACAAATTTATCTTTAAGCAATTTTAATAAATTAGATTGTGACCCGATATCGCCAGATTTCTCAAACAATTTAATAATTGCTTTATTCATCGTTTATTTTAATAAATCTTGACTAAAAAAATGTACATCTATCTTGAAGTTTTTTATGCATTAAAAACATTTATTTAATTAACGCAATTTAAATTGAATTCTCCAACGTATTATTTCAATAACGGTTATCAAATTATGATAACTACTGGTTACAATGGTTACCAACAATAACAAACCATATAATTAGTAGGAGTACTTGATTGATGGAGGAAGTTAAAAAAATGAAAGCTTAGAAAAATCTATACAATTTTTTTTTTTTGAGATATGTAGTCTTCTACAATAATTTATTCGTATAAACGAGGTGAGCAATTCGCGCACTTCGTGAGATGCGTTAAACCGGTTAACCAATTAATACGTAAAAATAAATATAAAAAAATTATTTTAAAAAGAATATATAAAATATAAAGACATAAATTAAAATACTTAAAAGCAAAATTTAATAATGGTAGTTAATATTTTTGAATACAAGAGGAAATTGTGTAGCATGTCTTATAAAGCAGATTGAAAAATTATCGTTAGATCGCTTTTTAGCAGACCTTGATTTTTGAAAGAATTTAATAGGAATTTGGATGCAGTTACACGATGCCAAACTATAATCTGACGACTCATCACTTTCCTGTGTTATAAAAACGGTTCAGGCGTGACATGTGTATATCTATATTTTCTACATGAACTTTAACATCTTTTAAATTGTTTATAAACCCCCTGAATTGTAGAATTTATAATGAGACCCTTGTCCTTTTTCTCCGATGAACCATTATTATTCCGCCTTTTAACTTTTAAATAGGCCCTTTTTGTAAATGTTTCACGATGCACTTCTTAGTGTACCTCAAATTTTTTTTGCTCAAAATAAATAACCATAAACAAAAGAGTCCGTCGTAAGGCAGAATCCCTTTGAATGTATGGCAACGTTTCGATTATATAATTATCATTGTATTTTGGGGGTTAGTAAACTAAGTTCCAAGAAATTGTTTTGGAGTACACTGAGTCCTGGTTTAATCTAGGCCTTATGTAAATTAATCCTAAATAAAAAAAAAGGTCACTTGTATATTAAGTCCCAATATTAAAAAAATCAGGAAAGTCATCAACTTGGGCATTTGCTTCAGTCTAAATATTAAGTGCATCCAGTGGTGTAGTCCTAAAAATGTTTATGGGTATACGCCTATATTATGAATAGATAATAACGTGGGGGGCTTCGCCCCCCCCCCATGCAATTTATATTTTCTACATACAATATTTCACAATTATTTTGTTGAACTTTTAATTTTATACATTATCAACAGTGATATAGTCGTAATTTGATCAATAGATAAGTTAAAAACCTAAATGAGGAAACGTGGGGAATTTCACCTCCACACTACTTTTCAAAGGCCTTAACTATAACATAGTTTTAGGGGACGGAATACAAATATTGTGATGTTTTAACTGTGTTAAAAATATGTATTTTCTAATTATTACATAATGCAACTAAAACTCCTAACCCTCTCAGATACAGCCTTGCTCCTTCCAACTTTCAACTATTACTCGAATATTTTTACTGACACTTCTAAATTCTTACATAAACTAAATTTCATAGTCATATAATCGATAAGTGTATTATTAGATACTGTTATATTTTTTGTAAATAAACAATAAACTTTATGCAGTAATAAAATAATCTTACAATCATTGTTTTCAAATCGTTAAAACATAAATGAAATAAACGTGAATGGGTACATGTTAGCACTATCTTAATTCATTATAGGTAATATATTAAATACTAGATTGGTTGGTAAACGGTTTATTACGGGAAAATACAAATTACCAATTTCAACAGCTATAGGTTAACCCAATAACTTTCAGTTTCAACTTAGTATGTGCTATATCGTTAATTTCTGGTCGATGTTTTAAATTTTGTCAAATGTCAATAAAATTGTCGTGAAATTATAAACATTATCCTATTTATTTTATTGATATTTATTAATACACTTTGACAGTGTTTTGTTTTACATTTATATTCTATTTTTAAAATGATAATAGTCTCGACTCGAGACTCTCGAGCCATATTTGTGTGTTTATAACTTCAGATATATGTTTATATGTGGTATGACTGTAGAGATTAAACAAACTGATAATAGTTATTCAAAATTTGTGTTTTATGACAAACATACCTATATTCGATACCCACGTATTACTTTTTATTTTATTCTTTAGTCTATACTCTAACTATTTTATAAATACGTATATGCACTAATAAGAAAACAGTGGGTATACGCCGTATACCCGCGTATAACTCATGATTTTATAAGTATACGCATTAACAGAAAAACAAAGAAGTGGGTATACGCCGTATACCCGCGTATACGCTCCACGACACCTCTGAGTGCATCCCGAGACTGTTCAAATTATACTTTACTAAACCGAGCCGTATCCGGTCATTTAAATTATGTAACCATAGATTAAATGTATTAGTGTATTTAATCAATGATGAAACATAAAAAAATTCAAATTCTATTTGATAAGAGAAGTATTTTTTCCTCAACGACTTTCGATAAATTTTTTAGTTAATTACAAGTATTTTGAAGTTAATATATTTTATTTAGAAGCTGAATTTTTAAGTTCTAAAGCTTTTATATAATCTATATCATTGAAGGAAAAATAATTTGAAAGAAACCAGGAGAACACCCAAGGAAACGATGTTTTAAACATATCCTGGAACTCATAAATTGTGCGTATTTTATTTCACAAAAGAATTTGGCGTTCATAAAGGAGTGGCTTCAACGACAAGGCATTGACTTTAATAGATAATGATGATTAAAGATTTTATCAAGTAATGCTAAAACGAGAAATAATAAAAAATGAAAAAAAATATATATAATGAAAAATATTTCATTCCTGATCTTTATTCAATTGCGAAAACTCTACTTTGACCCAAATTTTATCCTGAAATTTTAAAAGTAATATTAGTTCTAATAACGTAAGATCATTTTCTTCTCTCAAACTAAAAAAAACTTATTTAGGAATTAATAGGGGTAATATGATTTATTGATTTAATGGTTGTATTAGTAGAAAAAGAAGAAACTGCACGAATCAATTTCGAGAAAATTTTCAATATTTTTGTGCTGATTGAAAGACTGAAAGTATCGGCTTAAAAAGTGTGTTTTACTTTGTTTTCTGACATTATATAGAAAGTTGTTATCATGTTTCATAAAACTAAAAGTTATATAATTTTTAATTTAATTTTGTTTTTAAACAAATTGTATTTTAAATAAATAGTATTTATTTTATTAATTACATTCTTCGTTTTTACATATTCATCAAACTGGCATAAACGTTTAGAAAATAATTTTTAATTATGTTAAAATTATACTAAAAGTATAGTTCAGTATTGTATTAAATTCAAAATGTTGAATGATACAAACTAAACATGATAAAATATGTTACATTCCATTTGCGAGTTAAAACTTTTCGTTACGTACATTACTAGCCTTTTAAAAAAGAAATAGTGAGTCAAAAAAGAAAAACTAAATAAAAGCAATACACATCTAAATATAAACATATTTAATAACTACATATTTCTGTTTGTCACATTAACCGCGATTTGATAAAGTATATCATTATGGATTACATTGTGACGAAAAATTTATGTTATCGCATTTAAATTATATAATACATCCTATGTGACATAAATCTTATGATAATGTAACTAATAAATATATTTTTAAACCAATTTAATTATTAATAAAATATCAGTCATAAAAATGATAACACATAGAGTTTTTTCAATAATTTACAACTTAACAAATTAAAAATAAGGGATTTTTCAAAGCTAATTTTATTTTGTTTTCAGTAAAATACCTAAGTTGAATATTTTACCATAGAAAGCCAACATGTCTAACAATATTGTGTAAAAATTTTTAGGATTTAATTTTTTGTCCAATTTGAAAAAAAATAAGTTAGAGTTGCCTAAAAATTGTTATTTTAGAAATTTAAAATTTTTTATACTTACTAAAGAAAGGCCAGAGTAAAAAATTTCAAAACACAATCAAATATGATGTAAAAAATTGTATTTCATCGTTAATTTCAATTTTAAAAATTTCGTTTTTTTACAAAAACAAAAAAAACCCTTTCTTATAATTACTAAAAAAATTCTATTGTGAACTTGTAAGATCTTAACTTACATAATGTAACGCTGTATAATTTTATATCATCATATAGATATATATTCATATCTATCGTTCATACCTAAATATTATAAGACTGGGGACTCAATTTNGGTAACATCTAAATCTGTTTGAATTGGAATTTGAGTTAATATTTTATCTAAATCATTAATACAATTAGCATTTTCTGAATGTTGAAAGTAATTAAGTAAAAATATTTTTTTAAAGGCATATAAAAACTGATAAGNTTACACTTTGAAAAAAGCATATAAAAACTGATAAGGTGTTGGATTTGTATTGTTTCCATTTTGCTGTCGAAAAGTACAAAATAAGTTTTCAAGGCAATCTTGGTTTATTCTTCCAGTGTAAAACACGTAGGTTTCTTGTTGAACTGTTAGTTTGGACAATTTTAAACCCTTCCATAGTAAGACCAAGCCAGATATGGAGACTAACTAACCTTTTATAAATTTTATACTATTTGTAACATCATTACCACTTTTATTATCAATTACTTTTAAATTAGAAAAAAAATTAAACATTAATTTTAAATGATTATCTTGTTCAAAAGTTAATTTAAATGGGCGATTGAAATTTTTTGAAGCCGGTTGTTTATAAGAATTGAAAATATCAAAAAGTTTATCCATATTTCTAATAAAATCTATTGAACACTTAGAAGAAAAATGTAATTTATTGGTGGCTAGATAAGTCTCCATTCCAGCTGCAACACTTTCACTAAAAAAAACTTTCATTTTTTCAAATGGACCAGGAAAAATATGAGCATGAGTTAATTTATGGGCCATTTTTAAGTTACACTTAGAATTTTGTTCATAAAAAGAAATTAAATGATTTTTTTCTATTAAACTATTATTGTATGAAAAATTATGCAAAAAAAACATATTTCTTGTTGATTTTAGTAAATGTGGGGGGCCAAAAATATAAATAATTTTTTTTTCACTAACATAAAAAAAAGGACGGGCTGGAGTTA